TTTAGGCGTTTTAGGTCTTTGGATTTAGGGCTTTAGGGTTTTCGGTCTCTGGGGTTCTTTCAGGTACTTGGGTGTAGGGTGCAGGGTTCAGGGCCCAGGTCTTTGGGTTAAGGGTTCAGGCTTAGGGCTCGAGCTGAAGGTTCCAAGGCTGTGGGGGTTTAGGGGTTTGAGGGGGGTTTACGGGGTTTAGGGGGGTTACCCGGGGGGTTTAGGGGTTTAGGGTTTAGGGTTTTAGGGTTTAGGTTTTAGGGTTTTAGGGTTTAGCTTAGGGGATCAGGTTGTCAGGTTTAGGGCTTCTTGACCCCCGGCTGGCACGAGTTTGAGAGACTAACTCGATAGCATCGAACGGTCAGGTAGTTTGAAACCGATAGTATCAAGTCTTTCTTCGGCTGATTAGCTCGGCCAGAATCTATGTAAATCAGAGTAAGGACGGTTCGAATAAACGTACGAAAGCCAAGTCGCAAGAACGGACAGTGAATGTCAAGAACATGAAGCGAGCATTTCAGCAGTCATAGGCCTTGCTGATATCTTGGGGACTCCCTCATAGCCCGGTCGATGGTGGCACCAAGCGGCCACAGTAACCAAGCCACTGGGTGCTAACGGGCTGTCGTGCTGCGTAGTTGATAAATGTCACGAAACAGGGCAGCAAAGCACAGCAACATTAAACGAGCACAGACCTTGTATTGACGATGCTCAGGCTCTGATTGTACCCATCATCGCCTGCCTGGACCTAGACGCACCAAGACTATGTGACCCCGGCAGTGCCCTACAGAAATGCCTGGAGCTGCAAAGGCGCTCCCCCTGGAGCACGCCGCTCACGCGGCCTGGTGGTTCCACTTCGCGGGTTGCGGCTTAGGGCTCGAGGGGTTTAGGGTTGCTACCAACACAAATACCACTACCACTGCCACGGCTGCTGCTACTGAAACTACCACTACTCACTACTACTTCTGCTGCTGCTGCTACCACTGCTACTGTTACTGTTACTGCTACTACTGCTACTGCTGCTGCTGCTGCTGCTACTACTACTACTACTACTACTACTAGTTACTAGTACTCCTACTACCCCCAAGCTCCGCTAAGTCAGAAAAGTGGGAAATGGTTAACGTCGGACAAGTTTTGTCTTTTAGCTCCTATCCAGAGAATAGTTCATTCATTTGCCACAACGTTAAAGCGGAGGCGGCAAAACTTGCCGACAAAGCTAACTCAAAGCAAAACCGCCAGTGGAAGTGTTCACTAAACTTGCTCAAAACTGCTTCTGAAACTGCTTCCAAGCCCCTAAACCCCAAAACCCTAAGCCCTAAACCCTAGACGATGGACCAATGATTCCAAACGGCTTCGCTCTGGGCAGCAGTTTTAAGGGGCCCAAAACGAAACTGCTACGAAACTGCTCTTCAAGCTCTTCGGTTTTGGCACTGATTTGGTCAGCAAAACCCGAGAAGCACACTCAACACCCTAAACCCTAAACCCTAAGCCCTAACCGTAAACCCTGAACCCTAAACACAAAACACAGACAAACACACACACACACATATATATATATATATATGGTGGGAGCGATGTTTTGAAGGGCACGGTCTGTCATGGG